TGTAATTTAATAAATATAAATTAAATTAAATTAACATATTTCTCTAGGATACTTTAAGTAAGAAATAAATCCTATTTTTAACATTATATTCATCAAAAAACATCATATGCTATGCCATGTTTTCATTCAATCAACAATTCCTAATCGATCAGAAGATCTTACTTTTCATCACGATGAGTTTTTCAAAAACAATTTTTACGGCATAGGATAATGAATGATGCTACGAGCTGTCGTTCAAAAATTTAAAACAGTTTTCTTGAACTAGACGTTTTTTTATAAAAATCAGTTGTTCATTAATCAAATGCAGTCAGCAATTGTAGATACAAAAGCGCTTGTTTTCTATAAGACGCAGTTTTGTTTCAATCTTATTTACGCATACATTGATGCTGGTTGTTGATTTTTTTCGCTATTTCAGAAGTGTCAGTTTATATTTAAAATAAATATAAATATTTTTTTATCATAATTTATATTTAAAAGTAAATTAAATTTCTAATAAGCTATATTTCTAATAAGTATAACTTATGACAATTTATATTAATTTTTAGATATAAATTATTGAAACAAAAAATTTATATTTAATAATAAATATAAATTGTCATAAGTTATATTTATTATAAATATAAATTATGAAAAAAAAATATTTATATTTATTTTAAATATAAATTACTGATAACTTAATTTACTCGTAAATTAAATTAAAAATAAATATAAATTGATACCCCTGGACCTAAAGCAACTATATCTGATCAAGGTACTAGCTTCAACAATCAATTGATGTTTTCACTTTCACAATTAGTTGGTTATCATCATATTCTTCGCACTTCACATCATCCTCAATCTAATAGACAAGTAGAACGTTCTAATAGTACATTCGTCACTCAAATTGCTAAAACAACTGATTATGAATCAAACAATTGGCACGAATACTTATATTCGATTGTATTTACATATAATACCGGTATTTATTCAACAGCGAATATTATTTCATTTGAACTTAAATTCCACCGACTAGCTAATCTTGCAACTAATTATTCACTAACAGCATTCACATTTTATCAATATTGTCATTATTTTCATCAACTATTGTCGGCGCCAGAATTAAATAGGGGTGGGTGTAAGCTCAATAACTCGACAACCGCAATAGCTAGCGATCTGCAGTTTTCGTCAATCGAAAGAGGAGGAGTTGGGACGTCTTTTTCTCTGATAATGTATAAGACGAAATCCTTTTAAAACTAATCATATTTGAAAAACATG